TGTGTGTGTGTGTGTGTGTGAGAGAGAGAGAGAGAGAGAGAGAGAGAGAGAGAGAGCTAATTCTTGAATTCGTTTTTCGAAAATTGAGGCGTTCACCAATCATACAATGGTCATTTGTTCATGAGTGCCAACTCAATTCAGTTTGTGTCACTTTGTAGTATCAATCGGCTTCGCTTTGTGATTTATCCTTCCGTCACCACATCCAATTTTGTCCAATCATGCAATTGTATTTTCAGCCGCGCCACCTTAATTCAAATCTCGTCACATTCGAGCAGCCATTGGCGTCGCCTTTTGGGTTTTCCCTCTCAGCACATTCAAATTTTTCATTGTATTGGGTAATGCATAGGAACCGAATGTATGAATGCTCGTGCAGAAGGGGAGTTTTGCCGGGCCAAAGAATTGACAGCATTGAATGTCGGAATCACAAAGCACACAGTGCGGATGGCCAGACGGGCCATCAAATGTAAAAAGAGGCCCGTGTGTTGTATTTTTTTCTCTGTGACGCCTCACAACATTCAAAGTGAAAATGCATAGATGAGTGTAGACGACGGGGGAGGTTCGAGAGAGAGGCAGAAAAGCATAGAGTTAGTTCGAGTCAGGATGCATTCGAGTATGCGGGCAGAACATCACACCACACAAGGCACAAAATGACGAAATCGAGATATTCAATCACGAAACAGGCGCCCCAACAACGGGGACGTTCATGATAATTGAAATCCAATGAGAAAGAACAATATTATCGACGACAAACTTGCCGGGGACATGACAAGCTCACCCGGAGATATCCTGGCAGTGACAGTCAAATCTGCTCTGAACCAAACCGAGAACACCCACCAGTCCCTCACGGAGAAAATGAAAAGGAACAAATTTTGTCCGGAGAAGAACGAAATGTTCTTCTACGTCAACCCTTCTACACTACATGATCAACAAAGAGATAGATACTTACCTACCAACATCGCAAATCGCCAAAGCTAGTCTAGCTCTGATAGAGGAGATGTGTCTATGGGAGAAACCAAAAGGTGGACGTGAACCTTTCGCCAAACAGGAAGCAAACATCAATATGAACACCCCACAACTAGCCCCGTCGTGCTGCCGAGGGACACCTTTCACGCTGACCTCGCGAGCGAAGTGGTCGAAAGTGCGACCATCACCGGCGGCACCTGCCACTGTATTAAAAAATTTAACAGTTTTATCCAGAAATGCGGAGTAGAAAAAATCTTTGGATGATGAACACGAGAAAGAATCATAGATTTCAAAAACATGTCTAGAGAAGTCAATGGCCAAAAGGCTCCAGTGTTCGCCGTCCTTCTGCACTGGTGTCAAGACGAGGTCATGAGACAGGAGGTCGACATCTTTAGCCCATCTGAGAACAGCTGTCGGACCTCGCTGAAGCAGTGAAGAGGCGAAGAAGGAGTTAAAGGTGTATGTCTTCATGGTAGCGGCAGTCCGGCCGCAGTCGTCCAGTAGCATCGCCATGTAGAAATTGACAATCTCATCGTTGAGCTCCCCGGATCTATCCACGAGTGCGACGATGTCCTTGACGGATACCTGTAAATTGTGCGACGGCAAACGCGCGACGATGATAGTGAGCGGCAACCGGGAGCAGATAACGTCTTCAAGGACCGCTCTTCCATCTCGAGGAAACCCTGTTCAACAAACACCCGCAACACACAGCAAGCACAAAGGACGGGGCACTATGAGAAAATGCCGTCCTAGCGGCCATGGTCTGAGGAACCGCTACTCTGTGGTCCGAAAAGTTCACGCATAACGTCACCCCTACTTCTGGACCTTCTACACAGTTGATTCTAAACTAGCACTGTCCTTTATATCCCTGCAAGCCTCGAGAAGGAATTCCTTGCAGTCTTTTTCGGCAACACCCGCTGCCTCTTGCGCGGGAGCCCAATACGGGCACGACTACCCTTCTGGGAGGGCCTCGAGGCTTAGTGTCCCCAGGAAACGCATCAGTGACATGTCGACGACCAGTGTCTCCCGCAACCAGGACTGACAACCTGGCGAGGGCAGGCGGCTCCTTCGACATGGGTGTTTGTCCACGAGTTCGTCGACCTGTACAAGAAATAGCCACCCAGAGAGTTCAGCAGGAGATCAACAACACAAGTTCGCAAGAGCAACCAAGCAAACAGCACCTCACGAAGCACATCGTCACAATCCAATTGGCGGCCGCCTATACACCTCCCCGAAACCGACGAAGCAAATAACACTTCATGAACGGGCTGACGAGCGGGAAGAAAGCAGAGAAAGTCAGTGCTTACCAAGCCTAGCTACCACTTCACCAGAGCCCACCGACGGCAGTCCCAGCACGATTGGCACCCCTGCGCGCGTCGACGTGGCGACGACCTGCTCCAAACCCACAGGGAAACTTTACAAGCTCGAGATGTCGGCGTCGATGACCGTAGATGGTATATTCGTCTCTGGACAAAGAGCGTCGACGTCCACAACATCGACAGGTTGTTTTTTCTCCATTGCCACTGTGTCGTATTGTGTTGGGCTCAATGTCCGAAGGATGTCCAACAACACCTCTCCCCCTTTTAACTTATTGTCCCCGTACGCTGTGTCTTTGTTGTCGTCACTCAAATAGAGAAATCTATCTCCAACAGCGTCAGAGGCCTTCTTCAGAACGTCCTCCCCCATCGCCTTGTTGTGAAGGGCGGAGTACAAGGGATCGTCATATCCCGACTGAACTGGTAGCTCCATCCCGACGTCGCTGAGTGTCGGATCAATCCGGTCGTCGGCGGAATTGTCCTTGTCCAAAGTCGTCAGTAGTTGACAACCCTCAACGCCTGCCAGTTGAAGTCCTTCGTCCGTGTGCCTCGGATGAATCCGAATCACGGTCGTCTCCAAAGATGCATCAGGGAGGGACATGTTCACAGGGCCCTGGTTCGGATTCATCCGAGCCCCCGCAGTTTCCAATGACGCTGACATGACCGCTTTCACCGGGGAGTTGCTTACGACTGCTAACTCGGCTCCGAGTGTATTGGGCTCGACATTGGAACTGGTCGCCAACTCACCCTCAGTCGGACAGTCCGCCTGCAGCTCCTTGTGGGCTTCCACGCACAGCGTTACTGCATCCTGACACCGATCGTCTGTCATGGAAAACACGGCATCCTGATTCGGATGAATCCGAATTTTGTCGCCAGGGTTTTCGGAAACACGGACCACCCGTTCGAGTTCTGTAGACAACTGTGCTCCCTCGATGGCACGGCCTTCGCGGTTCGAATTAATCCGAACTTCCTTTTGAGGCGAAACGGAACACAGTTCCAGCTTGTCGCTGCCGGACCCGTGGTATGTTGTCGTCTCACTTCCTGGAAGGCGCTGAGTTCCGGACAACGACGTCGTCTCCGAGGTTCGGATTGATCCGAGACAATCCCCCAACCGTTTTTGGAGCTGAGCGAAGCATGTTCCATGCTTTGCGACACCTGCCCCGCCAACCGCATCGACAAACTGTGTTTCGCCAGTGGAGCTGATCACAGGGTCCTGCTCGCAAGGCCGCGTAATACACCAGGCCTCAAGTCGTTCCCCGTATCCATTGAGGTGCTGCCTGTTACCGCCAGAACCCCACCGTCCTCGTCGCGGTCGACATCGGACCCCTGCCCGTCTCCTCTGTGATGCTTCGTCTTCTCTCCGCAGCAAGGCTTTTTCTTCCCCTGGCTGCCCTTCTTCCCCTCTCCGCCGCCTGCGTGCCCCGGAGACTGCTGTTTCGTCGAACGCTGTTCACTTCCACCTCCGGTACCTCGTTGCCCGCCGCCTTCACCATCCCCGTCGCCGTCCTTTCCGCGAGACTTGCGCTTCACAACTCCTGCCGGCGGGGTGACCTCAGGCAACTCCCAACTCACTTGCTTAATTGACGGGCTTGACGGAAGGGCGTAGAACGCGGATGACACTTCCAGCCATTTATTTGACTGCAATAACTCGAATAGCGTGTCCCCGTATTCGCGAAGAGCAGGGTCGTCCTTACTTCGTCGATTGACCTCACTTAACGATCGTCTCGAGGCGCGAGATTCAAATGTCTCGAGGTCCCAACGATCGTCATTTATCCACCCCCCACTTACGTCCCTCACAACCACTGCCCATTCGTCATCGAGAAGGACTGGCTGGAAATGGTCTGGGTGCCACACGATATCATGGCCCCAATCTTCAGCTGTGGAGAAGGTGTGTTTGTCGCCCATGTGGAAGGGAGTCGCAGTAGCCTTGAGATGCGGATGGTCCGGAGGAACTGGACGGCCGGGTCGAAGACGTTCGGGCTGCGGCGTGAGACGAATAGGCTCCCCCGACGAACTCCTCAGACGGGACAACCCACCCCTCTTGACAGGCGCTAAGGAGGACACGGGCGTGGGACCGCCCAAGGTAGGTGTAGCGAGAGGTGTCCCCGGTTTGCATACTGATGGCGACTCAGAAACTTGGGCATTGAAGATGGCCAATTGCCCGTCCAAATCGAAGAGGTCGTCCTCCTCACCGAATGCCAGCTTGTACTTATCCAAAGTGAAGTCGGCCGGATCGACAACATCCTCATTAAAAAAGACATATTCCAGCCTCTTAATGAAGCTCACAGCGCCGGCCCGACTCGCTCCGTGGTAGCCCTGGAGGACCGCAATGGCGACTTCCTTCCGCACCATGTACTGCGGGTCAAATCTCAACCTTGGTTGTTCGCCGTAAAGGAAGAAGTAGACCTGGCGCCTTTTCTTCGGAGTTAACTTGAAGAACATGTCCTTGTTCGGGTCATAAACGGGCTCGACCACGACATGGTGGAAATCGCATGGGTAAGCCTTGGACGACACTTCATGGGTGACATACTGCATGGTGTATTCGAGCTGCGTTGTGTCCCCATCCACGACCAAGATGTGCCTTCCCTGCTGAAGCAGACTCCACACCACCTGCTTGTGCGGCTTGCCTAAGAACAGCACGGCATCCGCCACACCACAGAAGAAAAGAAGTTGATTGCACAACTGATTCAGATTCCGCTCGCTGTCCTTGTATAGAGCCCCTCTCTGGGTCAGGTTTCCGATGTCCACGAAAGTCAAGGACTTGAAAGACTTCTCCTCCACATCCATGGGTGTCACTTTTTGTTTCCTCCGGAGAGCGGCGTCGTCGTCTTCAGCAACAGCTCCCTCGTACACCGGGTGAGTCAGTAGCCGAGGATCCTCGCCTTTGAAAAGGATGTGCATCACATCTGTCTCCTCCTAGACGCTGTTTCCAAACTGATGCGTCTTCTTCGATGTCGTCTTCCGAACCCACTTCCCCGTGTAGCATCGGGTAGCCCCAAGCGCAGACAAACATGTCATGAAGGAAAGGTTCCACAAGCAGGGGACGAATACCACCAATGTCCAGTAGTCCTGACAAACGAAGCCCAACAACTCACTCAGAGACGCGAATGCCCCAGAGTCTCATTGCGCACGGTCCACAGTACCGCATAAGTCGAGCACGCAAGTGTGGGAGCGTAGCTGATGCCCTAGTTTTCCCAGCCCCTCCTTATGATCTCTGGCACTCAATGGGTCGACGTTAAATTGGGCCAGCGTCGTCAAGGCGCTTGTCCTTGTCCACATAATGTTGATACATTCATCAACGCCCCGAGGGCTTTTTTTGCCTTTGGCATGATCTCCAGTGATCACCGAAAGGACGACACGCTTCCACTCCGCCGGGAAATGCTGGTCGTTGACGAGGGCCGCCGTTCTCTTGATGTTGTTGTCGTGTTGACACCCGAGAAACTGATGGCACTTGTTGACGTATGTGGTGTCCGTGAAAAATTTCCTGCTCTTGTTCCAAAGCTTGTCGTCGAGACCTCTGTCCTTGAACTCTTCGAACAGTTGCTTCTTGGACCTAAAGAACGTGGAGTTGGCATTCCACTCCCGCTTATCCATTTCCTCGTACTCAAACTCCACATAGTGCCACAACCTCAGCATAATCCGGTCCATTTTTATTATGTCGACCATCTCCTTGACACTGAACTTCCCCTGCTCGGCCAACTTCTTGCTACTCGTTTGAACCCACACGACGTTAAGGTTCAAGACGCCGTTCAACAGCCTTTTCTTCTCGCGGTCCGTCAAGTCCACCAATTCCTTCCAGCAGTGGACATCCGGCTCCAGAACTTGGACGTAGAAAGTTTTTTCCTCCGCGCCTTTCTTTGGCTTCCCCCTGCCCTTTTTCAACGACGGGTCATCCACCTTCACGTACCAGACGTGTTTCTTCAGCCCCTGGCTGTCAGTCACAGTGGAGAGTCCTAGCTTGGCCACCTCCTCATGGGTGGGCGGCTTTTCAGTCCAACGCCAGCCGTCAGAAGCAAGGAGTTTCCCTTTCGACCACTCCTCATAGAACTTCAACCCCAAAGCGAAGACGGAGTCATCTGCCATGGCCAGCGGGAGGTAGTATCGAAGTTTTTCAGCCCATTCCTTTCTTTTCTTTGCTTCCGTTGACAGGTTCCAGATAGGCGTGTACGGCGTCTTCTTCATTGCCAACGTCATGAACCGCACCCACTTTCGCACCTCGTCCTGTTTCTTAGAGGCATTGTCGAGCACCACACGCGGTTTGCCCTTAATTTTCCAGATATTGCGAATGTCCCGCATAGACAAAACCTGCAAGCGCGGAGGATTCTTGTTGTTTTTCATGTTGTCTTCACAACTGACATGGGCGTAGCCGTCGAACTCGTCGTCAGGGAAGTAGATCGGTCTGAACGACCATTTACAGAAGTTGTAGTAATCAAACATGGGATGGTCTTTCACCATCATCGCCGCCCTCGCGTTATGCTGTCCACACACAGGATAATACCAGTATTTCTCCGGGTGTGAGCTGTCGAAGTCAGCAGGCAGCACGCGCACAGCAGGCTCGCCGTTCTCTGGAGGCGCGACGATCGGAGCGAGAACGAAAATGGGATTCGTGTATCTCATATCTTTGCGTTCGTAGCAGTCGATCATAGCCGACGCGATGGTATCAACGAGGAACTCGTCCAAGGATCGGTGGTTGTACGCGTCTTCCCAGTCTGGAATAGCTAATATTCTTTCGGGATGGATGTGCAACACGACGTCCTTCTGCACCCCCGTCTGCATCTTGAGGAAGAACGCATTGTCGAGGTTAAAGGCGTTGAGGTTAATCTCCACGTCGTCATCCCCCTCCCCGTTGTCGCCCTCGTCTGCTTTCTTCCCCTTCGATGATTTCGACCGTTTTCCGGAAGACTCACCGGTTCTTCGCCGTGTCGACGAGTCTTTTGGCGTTTCATCCCCACCTCCAACCCTTTTCCTCTTCTCAACGGAACCGTCCTCTCGTGTTGTTGGCGTCCGAGCACTCCCTCCTGCCTTTCTCTGCCTTTTCAGAGCACCTACTCCCTCTCGCTCTTCCTCATCTGGCAAGTTGCGCTTGCCTCCCGACTGAGTCTTTTCAGCCGATCTCTCACGGAACAGCCCCTCCTCAGACACCTCCTCCTCACCGGCGATGTTCCCACTTGCTTCTCGTTCCTGGCTCAACTCCGTCTGCAGTTGCGCCGGCGCTGGACAGGCCCGACGAGTTGTCTCATCTGACCCACGCACCTCCCGAACCTGCGGACCACCCGCTCGATCTCCAGGCGAAACCTTGGCCACCTGCATGCCACGAACGAACGAACCGATCCTTTCGACCAGACCACGAGGAGTCGTCGATTCTGAGCCCTGTCGCAACCGTTCGCCATCGCCGCCTCCATGTGGCGTCGACTCCCCAAGCAAACCGTAGCGGCGAGATACATGCAAGCCTGGTTTCAAAGGAGCACACGGATGGTCGTCCTCCGAGTCGTCGGGCATGCCCACCTCTTGATCAGGAGGCGTAGCTGGCAGGCCACCTTGACCTCCCATCCCTCCTTCAGAGCACTCTCCTCCCGAGAACCCAATAGGACCACTGATCGATGTTCCAGGTCCGACGTCCACGACACTAACAGAGGTACCAGGTTTTGCCCAGACCTCGAGGAAGTCTGTGACGTGAACGGCCTGGTCGTGCCCCGGCGCTAGCGGGACAAAGTGAGGCAAAGACATTGCACGACGGCCGTACCCCCGAACATCCTCCCGGCAACCTTGCATCCCTTTGCGATGCCCTCGACAGAACCATCACTTCTAAAATGCTTCTTCAACGTAAACTTGAAATTGTATTCGCCATCGTTGACCCACTGGACGATGGACCCTGCGAGACGCGTTCTGTCGGCGCGAACGACTACGAACAAGAGTGGCCCGCACGGTGGTTGCAAAGGGTCGCAGCCGTCCTGGCTCGCCTAGTCCAAATACCAAACACATTTGTTGTAGTCGCACCACAAGTTTTGAGCACGTCGTTCTTCCTCCCCACCTCCAACTCCTCGACTCGTTTCCCTTGCCGGCGACGACGTCGTCCCTCGACGCTCCTCTCCATGCGGGGCGGAACCACCAGTGGAGCGGCCTCGTTCGTGTGAAGCCATTCCCTGAAACACACGGAGGAAATGAACCCACATTCACTCAGAACAGTCAGCACGTCCCAACATCAACCACGACCCACAGCACGTATTCTATTATCGGTCACCCGGACTCCAAAAGAACGAAGTTCTGTCATAGTTAGACGACAGTGGTCCACAAGCCTGCACGTTTCAGATGAATCCGAGGCATCGTGAGGCATCCTCGTCACACTGCCCTTAAGAGAATGAATGGTCGAAAATGAAGACCGCGGGATAGATCGGATACATCTTAAGATGGCGCAGTCGAAAAACCGATGTCGCATAGGCACCTGCACCGGGAAAAGCAACACCTCGCAAGAAGGCCCTAGAACGCTGATACGACAGACAAAGACGAATACGTTGTCATCCGAAGTCGACAAGTGGATTGTAAAGTCCACCGTTGTAGTTCGGATGAATCCGAGCTCCAAAGCGGTGTGGACCACCCCCTTTCGGCCCGTACGAAACCGAACTCGGTAATGGTTGTAACTTGGATGCATCCGAATTCGAACAGCGCGATCCAGAGACGGTCGTCCACAAGAGGTCATCTACGGCACGTGTTTTCGTCACCGACCTGTGAGCACTGGGTAAAACCTATCCTGCCGGAGGTTCGGTTCGGTTGAACCTGAACTTCGCAAATGTGGCTCGGATTAATCCGMGACGGGGACCGGCGGATGGACCCCACGGTCTGTTGACGCCCATCCAGCCATCCAAGCTTCCGTTATTCCCCAGCTGTCGTCGGGTCCAACCGAATTTCGCACTGTGTGTCTTCGTCCTTGAGTGTTTAAGACGTCTGTGGCTCGGATTTATCCGATTTCGACAGAGGTTGTCCCGATACGTGCGACCACAACAGGCTGCGCCGACACCGCGTGCTTTCGACGTATAAGTTTATCAGACCGTGCGACGTCGTCAATACCCTCTGCGCATGTGGTAAATCCGAAAATGCCACCGGTGTGGTTCGGATTAATCCGACTTCGCCGAGGCGCTTCGCTTTGTTGTCGTCCCACCACAAAAGAAATATAAGAAAAAATTGTTCGTGTCGGCGAGAGGAAGATTGGCGAAGAATGCGAAAAATTCGACGAATGTGGAGGACATTTTACGGATACAGAACCGAACGCCGAGCGAACTGCACGACGCGACTTACGTGGGAAACAAATAAACAAACCGAGCGCAATAAAAATTAATTCCGCGTGAAGAAACTCCATGTGCAATCGAGAAGAGACACGATTCGTGAGAAACCATGTTCTCGTGTTCGACAACATACGACTGAAATCCTTATATCGCAGTTCGTGAGAGAGACAACATATTGACGACAAGCGAGTAACACTTCAAGAAAACATCTGAAGTGTCGACACAATCTCGAAGGGCGTGTCGACACAATCTCGAAGGGCGTGTCGCAACATTCTCGGGCTCCATTCACGGGTCCCATTTCGTTGGTGACCACTCGCCCCGATCAGATGGCACACTCACATGTCCACGTGACAGCTCCTGAACATGCGTGGCGACGATCAGATAGAGCCCCGCATCCATCAGCGTGGCCACGCTTGTTCAGGACGTGACACGTGGACGTCTGAGTGTGCCATGTGATCGGTGCGAGTGATCGCCAATGAAACGCATGCATTCTTGCTCCCGAAACTCCTTCATCTCGCCCCGATCAGATGGCACACTCACACGTCCGCATGTCAGGTCCTGAACATGCGTGGCCACGCTGATGGGTGTGGGGCTATATTGTAGCCTCGCATCCATTCTGCTGCCGCATAGAGCCCCGTTGTCGCATAGAGCCCCGCATCCATCAGCGTGGCCACGCTTGTTCAGGACGTGACACGTGGACGTCTGAGTGTGCCATCTGATCGCTGCAAGTGATCGCCAATGAAACACATGCATTCTTGCTCCCGAAACTCCTTCATCTCGCCCCGATTAGATGGCACACTCACACGTCCGCATGTCATGTCCTGAACATGCGTGGCCACACTGATGGGTGCGGGGCTATATTGGAGTCTGGCATCCATTCTGCTGCCGCATAAAGCCTCGCGTCCATCAGCGTGCACACGCTTGTTCAGGAACTGACACGTGGACGTTGACTGTGCCATCTGATCGGGGCGAGTGGTCGCCAATGGAACGAGATCCGCAAACGCACCCCGAGGTAAGTTCGCGAAAGAAACAGGCCAACGCATAAGACGAACGAAATAGAGGCGCTGAAGACAAACTAACGACGGGGACGAAGATGGTAGTTAAACACGACGGCACACACGTCCACGTGTCAAGTCCTGATCATGCGTGGCCACGTTGATGGGTGCGGGGCTCTATTCGACAACATTTTGTTGCCGCATAGAGCCCCGCATCCATCAGCTAGCCCACGTTTGTTCAGGACCTGCCACGTGGACGTGTGAGTGTGCCATCTGATCGGGGCGAGTGGTCGCCAATGGAACTAGATTCGCGACATAGAGGCACTGATAGAAAACTGACGACGATGGTGGTGGAACACGACGCTGTTGGTTCTGTCTCGTTTGTTTGTCTGCGCTTGTCAGTTACGTTCGCTAACTTTATGCGAACGACACAGACAAGCGCAGTGAAACGAATGAGATAAAAGACAGAAAGAGAGATAAAGAGATAGCGAGAGAGGAGAGCGCGACAGAGAGGTGATCTCCGCCTTCATCACACGGCCCAATCAAACCTCACGATCAAATGGCCCCGAACGTCATAGACTCCCTATCACACATTGGACTCACGGACGGAAATCCCTGTTGGATCACACGACACTTCTCGTTCGCGACGACTGAACCCAATGTAATCGCCACCGCGCGAATCCCGACTACAGATCGCGTACATGTGTGGGCATTCTGACGGTCTACGCAAACCCAGCATGGCAGGACTTTTCAGGTCGGAGGAGATGGAGAGAGAGAGAGAGAGAGAGAGAGA